AAATGAGGTTATACTTTTACTATTATATATTCATAATTAAAATTTACTTAAATGGAACAATCATAATATTTATAAAGATCAAAAAAGTAGAAAGATATCATCCTTTTTGTTTATTTGGGAAAATGATTAAAATGAAAAGGTATTCTAAAATCTAGGCAATAGTGTTATTATGAAATCTTGTGAATAGTATCGAATGGTTGATTTGACTTTGTCATGGAAAGTTAAGAAACTAAATTAAACAAATTTAGAGTTCAAGAACTATATTAAACATTTGTGAATAGTTCAAAAACCACATTGAAAGAATTAAAAGTTCAAGGATGACATTGCACATTGAGCCAAAATTTAGGAAATATCAATATCAATTTCCCCCAAATTCTTTTTTACCTAGAATCATCCTTCCATCGTAATATGATTTTGTGTCATTTTTTAATGAAAAACGAAAGCAAAAAACCATTCAAAGCAGGAGATCCGCCACAAAACAAGAACAAAATCAATAGCTCGGACTACTTATGAAACGGTGAAGAAATGCATTAGTTTCACATTAGTAAAGTCATATGACTTATCTAAACTAAATCAGTAAATTCTTTATATGATTATATATAAAAAGTAAAAGAAATATTTCATATTACATAGAGAAAGTAAAATCAATTATATTGCAGAAAGATAAATTAGGGCATTTTTATAGAATATGTAAACCATCCTATCACTTCACAAAGCTATATGGCTAGATTAACTTGAAGTAATAATTTCTAGTTATCTTTCAAGATTATCTTGTAATCTTTCACATCTCCTATTTCATTCCATACTATTCTATCCAAATAAAATGAAATTAATGGACAATGCCAAAAATATTTTTTTTGTATAATTACATTATAGTGGATCACATATTATTGATTACAATTATATTAAAGTATAGGATTATTATAAAGTTGAATACTATACATCAATGTAAAATGATAAAGGAATAGTCGATATTGGTATGTTGTTTTCAGAATTTCAATGCATGTTGGCCATTTCAGTAGAGCTAGATGCCCTTTATGCTTTTCTATTCTAAACGATATATTCTATTGACAATTGATTATTTTTAAGATATTTTAAAAAGATAAGGAGACTTAATAAAATAACATACATGTTAAAAGTCCCTATTACACTATTCTACTCATCAGGAAACTAAACATAGAAACTTTGATTTGATAATAAAAGATTAGAGAAAAATGACTTGAAGGGCAAAATTGGAATAATCAAAGGGCACTTTCACATGAAGACATTGAAGGTACATTTGGCACACATTTATAGAGTCACATGTTCACCTCTTATTCAAAGGTGGGTTGAGCACCGCTATAGATATTACTAGAATGAGGCCCGCGCAATGCCACGAAAAAAACTAAATTTTTTTATGTAATATTCTCCTCTAAATTATTGTAACATCATTATCTTTCCTGTAAAAAAGAATGCCATTGTTAAATATCAAACATAATATCATCATATTCCAAATTTTCATCCTAAATTTGATATTTGCATAATAAACTCATAAATGGTACATTAATGGATAGATTCCAAAAATAAAAACAAATTAAAGTACACCTTTATGCGTAAAAGATAAGTTGAAAATCAAATTTTTTTCATTAATTAGATGTAAAAAGTAATAAAATAAAGAGTAAAAAGGAAAAAAAACTAAGCTTTATTAATTCTTATATTGTTTTGAAAAATAAAAAGAAAGAGAATGGAAACAGTGGAGGGGAAGTTTGTGCCAAAACCACCTTCCTAGCAATCCCTAATTTGTCATATATATATTATTGAATTTGATAGACTAAGTCAATTTTCAGGTGACATTACTTCTACCAACCAATGTACATGATCATTTTTCTCAATATGTGTGGACTTAATCAAATTAGTATTTAACATTCACTACAACGATTGTGTTTCTTAATCTGTGTTTTTTTTGCAATGTGTTCCGTGTACTTTTTATATGATGTTGTCCTCCCAATTTGTAAAATATTTTGAGCGAGGCAATCGCAATTTATGCAAGAGCTATAGAATGTGCACATTGATTTTTTACTATCGTTGACAAGTATGTAAATTTTGCTGGTAAAAATGGTCAATTTTTCTAGAAGATATGCCGGGGTGACCAAATAAATTATATCATTCTACAAATCGAAGGGTATCAATGTGGCAGAAAAAAAAATATAAATTAAGACAAAGTTGAGGGACCACATCTATACTAAGGGATTGTAAGGGATCAAAGGCAAGCCAAACTTAACCAAAGAGGAAAAACCAAGGTGAGAATAAAAAGCTCAAGAAGTTACGAGCCAAAGGCAACGAGACAGAAAAAGCAGAGCGCCTTTATGCTGCTGTTCCTTCCAAACTTCAAAAGCAAGGTAGAAAAAGGGCCTTCGTTTCAAAAGTATCTCACTCTCGTTAGGAACAACTCCAAGTGGGGGGAAAAAAGGCTTGTTTGCCGTCGCCAATTTCGTGCCTCTTGTACTGTTTCATCACGGGGGGGTGTGGTTCGGCAGCAGAGCGTGTTTTTGTACTCTTCTGTCGCGGATTTCGAACTGTATGGGAAAATGCAAAGAGATCGAGAGAGATCGAGAGAGAGAGAGAGAGAGAGAGAGAGAGGTGGGGGGCTGGAGAGAGAAGGGTCTGAATTATTTATTCATGATGATGAGGCGGAAAGTGAAGGGACGAGACAAGTAGTGGCTGGAGCAAGCGACAAGGCAAGGTCACAGCGAGGCTTGCCCTCCTTGCTGCATCAGCTCCCGGACAAGGGAAGGAGTAGCCTTGATATGCGCGGTTGGCATTGCTGTCAGAAAACCCATGTTGGACCAATTTGTTCGGTATCTGCCTCTGTGTCTCTATCTCTCTCTCTCTCTCTCCCTCTCTCCTCGCACTGTCCTTTCACGGACTCGCTCAACATTCGCCTTGGGTTTCTATCCGTACTTGGGGCGAACCTCCACATGTTTACATGTACTAAGGACTCAGAATTCTCTCGTTCTTGGTTCCTGGGTCCATCTCTCAAACTAACATAAAACCTTCCCTGCCTTTCTAAATCTTGTCGATGATTTTAGACCTCTCCATCGTTTCAATGAATATCTGAAAATGTCTACGCGCCACTCAAAATACCGCCTACTCAAAATATCGCCTACGTGATATCCTTACATTGCACTTTTAAACATAAGTTTCACGATCTGATCGTATTTTTGATAAAAGTGAAGACTTAATTGAACCGATAGGAAGATTTAGGGTCTGTTTAGTAACATTTCTGTTTCTTTGTTTTTCTGTTCTTTTGTTCCCTGGAACAGAAAAAAAACAGAAATCCGTTTAGTAAAAAAAAACTACTTTTTTTGTTTCTGGAACAAAAAAGTGATCCTGAAATAGATTTGGAACAGAAACAAAAAGCAAAAAAAATCTACTTCTTTGTTTCTGGAACAAAAACAAGAAACGATTTTTTCTGGAATCCTCCAAAAACAAGAAACAATCCATCGGCCACAACCCGCCCACTGCCGCCTCTCGCCATCCTTCGTCGCCACCTACCGCCGGCCTTCCGCCGCCGCCCGCCGCCCGCCTCCTGCCCGCCGGCCGCCTCTTGTCGTCGACCACTGTCCTCCGCTGCTCGACGCTTGTCGCCACCGGCCACCGGCCGCCGTCCTCCACCGCTGGCCGCCGTGCTCCATCTCCCGACACCGACCGCCACCCGGCGCTGGCTGCCTCCCCCCGCCAACCACCCGACACCGGCGATCACCCACCACCGGTCGCCGTCCTCCATCGTCGACGACCACCCACCACCGGCCGCCATCCTCCGCCGCCGGCCATTGTGCTCCACCGCCTGACGCTGGCCACCACCCGGCGCTGGCTGCCCTCGGCCGCCGGCCACCCTCCCGCCTCGGCCACCCGACGCCGGCGGCCACCCACCATCGGCCGCCATCCTTCGCCACCGGCCGCCATGCTCCATCGACCGACGTTGGCCACCCTCCGCCGCCAGCCACCTCCCGCCGCCACCCCCCGCTGCAGTCACCGCCGCCCGACGCCACCGTGCTCCACCGCTGACCGCCGTGCTCCACCGCTGACCGCCGTGCTCCACTGCCTCCGGCCGCCATCCTCTGCCACCACCGACCACAGTCCTTCGCCCCCCGCCGCCACCCGCCGTCCTCCGCCGGTAGCCCAGAAGGGAGAAACTCGTCCATGGAATAGAAATGGATCATTCGCGCCCTAAACGCGTTTATATTCTTTTTCTATTCCTGGAATAGAAATTTTGTGCCGTTATTAAACGCTATTTTTTGCTCAGAAACTGTTCCAAGAAACATAAATAGTTAACTATTTCTAATCAAAAATTATTTCTGGGAACAGAAACGTTGCTATGCAAACTCTTAGACTCATTGCATTCTGGATTTAGGATCGGTGGTGCAACTTTCTTCGTTTAGTTGGTTTTTTAAACGTACAAAAGTAATTTTGCAAGCAGATTGTCCTACATTTAGCGGTGCTTTTGTTTTTGAGATAATGACATAAATAATCCCTGAATTTTAGCCCAACGTGAAATGTGGTCCATTAACTTTAGCTTAATATGCAATGAACTTTTAATTTATTTAATGTGGCCCATGAACTTTTGGTACATGTTAAACTTAGTCCCTGAAATATATGAAAATGTTCAATGTTGTTTTAGTCCATAGACCGAATTGAACAAACTGAAAGTTCATTAACGGCATTATACATTTAGCTATAGTTCAAGCACCACATTAAATAATTTAAAATTCGGGGACCACATTGCACATTGGGTCAAAGTTCAGGGAATAATTATATCATTTTCCCTTTGTCTTTTTTTTTTTTTCAGATTATGAATATGGTATAGGTTAGATGGCTATAATGAAAACCGTAAATAATTTGATATTTGAATCGCTCGTACGGGTTTTGGGCCGGAATCCGCGAGAGAAAAAAAATTATGCATCTGCCGTGTTTTACAGTTTGATTGATGACCCTACTCATTCCTTCCAAACTTGGACTTTACCGACCCCATATTCTTCCCTCTCTCTCTCTCTCTCTCTCGTGAGCACAGTAATATCGTTTTTCATCCTCAAACACTTGGTTCTCGACTGCTGCATCACATGAGCTATGCTTTTCCGGTCAAGCTGAAGCTAACTTGATAACCAGAGAAGAAGAGAGACACACAGAGAGAGAGACAGAGAGACAGACAGACGGAAAGATGGTGATCCGGACGATGGGATGTCTCCCTCTTGCGCTGTATGCGCTGGTCTCGTTAATGGCAATGGCGTACTTCGGAGGCCGTACGGCGAACGGCGACGACGTCCCCGTCCAGCTGAACGACGACGTGTTGGGCTTGATCGTCTTCAAGTCGGACCTCTCCGACCCCGCCTCGTATCTCGGCTCGTGGAGCGAAGACGATACCTCGCCATGTTCCTGGAGATACGTGCAATGCGACCCGGTCACCGGTCGAGTCACCGAGGTCTCGCTTGACGGCTTAGGCCTGTCGGGCAAGATTGGGAGAGGCCTCGAAAAGTTGGATCGCCTCAAGGTGCTCTCGCTGTCGCGCAACAACTTCACCGGCAGCATCAGCCCGCAGCTTGCCCTCCCAAGTGGCCTCCATAGGTTCAACCTCAGCCGCAATGGCCTTTCGGGTCGCTTCCCCACTTCTCTCGTGAACATGAGCTCGATCAGATTCCTTGATCTCTCCGAGAACTCGTTCGCAGGGCCGCTTCCTGACAGCCTCTTCGACGGCTGCTCCTCGCTCCACGTCGTTTCTTTCGCCGGGAACATGCTCGAAGGGCCGATTCCCAGCAGTTTGGCCAAATGCATTACCCTCAACAGCCTTAACCTCTCCGGCAACAAATTCTCCGGCGACCCAAATTTCGCCTCGGGAATCTGGACTCTGCGAAGACTCCGGGTACTGGATCTCTCGAACAACATGCTCTCTGGGCTAATCCCGGCGGGGGTTTCGGCCATACACAACCTGAAAGAGCTCCTCTTGGGAGGGAACCGTTTCGCAGGTCAGCTACCGGCGGATGTAGGACTGTGCCCGCACTTGACCGCATTGGATTTCCACGACAATCTCCTCGCAGGGGCACTGCCCGCGTCGCTCCGGAATCTATACTTCCTCGTTTCTCTCAGCTTAGCGAATAACATGCTGACCGGGGATTTCCCCGATTGGATTGGTAATATGAGTAAACTTCAATACTTGGACTTCTCGGGCAATAAGTTCACCGGAAGGATCCCGACGTCGGTAGGTAACCTGCAATCTTTGAGGTACCTTAGCTTATCTGACAATGGGCTATCTGGAAACATTCCCTTTTCTCTTGCCTACTGTTCCAAGCTAACGGTCATAAGGCTGAGGGATAATAGCATAACGGGTAGTGTACCGGGGGAATTGTTCGATCTTGGATTGCAGGAAGTCGATTTTTCGAATAACAAGCTGGTCGGTCCCATCCCCCCGGGTTCAAGTAGGCTCTTCCAATCTCTTCACACCCTGGATTTGTCGAGAAACAATCTGAGCGGAGATATTCCTGCCGAGATGGGTCTTCTATCCAACCTGAGGTACTTGAACCTGTCCTGGAATGGCCTGAGTTCGAGAATTTCACCCGAGCTCGGGTACTTCCAGGACCTCACCGTGCTGGATTTCCGCAACAACGATTTGTACGGCTCGATTCCTGGAGATATATGCGATTCGGGTAGTTTGGCCATTCTTCAATTGGACGGCAACGCATTAACCGGGCCGATTCCGGAAGAAATTGGGAACTGTTCATCTCTGTACTTGCTGTAAGTACAGTTACTCTACACTGAACGTGGACTTTGCCCTTTAGGTTCAGCGTTTCATTTTATTATTTTTATCTTCGTGTCGATGTGATGCTATGATTGGCCTTGCTGCAGGAGCTTGTCCCATAACAATTTGAGCGGTCCCATTCCCAAATTGGTCTCGACGTTGAGCAATCTCAAGATTCTAAAGCTGGAGTTCAACGAGCTGAGTGGGGAAATACCGCAAGAACTCGGGAAGTTAGAAGAGCTCCTAGCTGTGAATGTATCCAACAATAGGCTCGTAGGAAGGCTTCCTGCTGGGGGCATATTCCCCAGTTTGGATCAAAGTGCTATTCAAGGGAACTTAGGGATTTGCTCGCCAATATTGAAAGGTCCGTGCGTGATGAACGTCCCGAAGCCCCTAGTCCTCGACCCATATGCTAACGGTAACGGCCAGCGGGATGGCCATAAGCATAGAAATGAAGGTTCCAGTCACAACCACATGTTCCTCTCTGTTTCGGCTATTGTCGCGATCTCGGCGGCCTTTCTCATTGCATGCGGAGTGATAGCCATTAGTCTGCTGAACGTGTCTGCCCGAAGAAGGCTTGCATTCGTTGATACCGCCTTGGAAAGCATGTGCTCGAGCTCTTCAAGATCTGGGAGCCTGGCTATGGGAAAGCTCATCCTGTTCGACTCGAAGGTATCCTCGGACATTAGCTTGAACAACCCCCATTCCTTGCTAAACAAAGCTTCCGAGATTAGCGAGGGAGTGTTTGGGACCGTGTTCAAGGTTCCGTTTGGCGCACAAGGAAGGATGTTGGCAGTAAAAAGGCTTGTCACATCGAACATAGTCCAATATCAGGAAGATTTTGATCGGGAAGTTCGTGTCCTAGGAAGAGCGAGGCATCCCAACTTGAACGCGCTGGTCGGATATTATTGGACTCCGCAGCTGCAACTGATCGTGACAGACTACGAGCCGAATGGCAGTCTGCACTCCAAACTCCACGAGAGGCTTCCTACTTCGCCACCGCTTTCTTGGGCAACCCGATTCAAAATCGTGCTCGGCGTTGGAAAGGGACTCGCCCACTTGCACCATTCTTTCCACCCACCGATCATCCACTACAACATTAAGCCCAGCAACATCTTGCTCGACGAAAACAATAGTCCCAAGATATCGGATTTCGGGCTGGCAAGACTCCTTACCAAGCTGGACAGGCACGTGATGAGCAACAGGTTCCAGAGCGCGCCAGGGTACGTGGCACCGGAACTGGCATGCCAGAGCTTGAGGGTCAACGAGAAGTGCGACGTCTACGGCTTTGGGATCTTGATACTCGAGCTGGTGACCGGGAGGAGACCGGTGGAGTACGGGGAAGACAACGTGGTGATCCTGAGCGACCATGTCAGGGTCTTGCTTGAGCAGGGCAATGTGTTGGATTGCGTGGATCCGAGCATGACCGAGTACCTGGAGGATGAGGTCTTGCCGGTACTGAAGTTGGCGCTGGTATGCACCTCTCAGGTACCATCAAGCAGGCCTTCCATGGCCGAAGTGGTGCAGATACTGCAGGTGATCAAGACCCCAGTACCACATCGAATGGAACCATATTGACAATAGTCTGAACATCCTCTGAGGGGTAATGCGTTTAACACTTCACCTGTTTTCCTCCTACTAAATCATCTCAATAGATGAAAGATTGTTCTTTGTTTTCTTGTCTCCTACTTTTGTTGCTGCTCTGCAGATGTATTACATAACTGTCCGAGCCTTCTATTGTCTAAAAGAGAATTTCATGGGCTCCAATGAATTGGTGGTGCTGGTCGTTTCTTTCTGTCCCGTAGATAAAGAGGTCTCTTTAGTTTATGCATGTGAACCGAGACCACACGGGCCAAATGCCCTCTAGCTTGTGGATCATGAGGTTTCTGACGTGAGTTCATGTGATAAAATAGAGGAAAAGTGACACAAACAGTCCATGAATTTTAGTCAAATGTGTAATATGATTTCTGAACTTTTAATTTGTTCAATATGGTCCCTGAACTTTAACCCAATATGCAGTGTGGTAATTGAACTTTTAATTTGTTCAATATTGTCCTTGAACATTTGGTACATGTTAAATTTAGTCTTTGAACTCTATGAAATGTTCAATGTAGTCCTTTCAATTATTCAAGTTCTGAGACTACATTGAACATTTTCATATAATCCAGGGATTACATTAAACATATATCAAAAGTCCAGGACCACATTGAACATATGGCTAAAGTTCGGAAATACATTGAACAAATCAAAAGTTTATAGACCACATTGCACATTGAGCCAAATTTCAAGAACTGTTTGTGTCATTATCCCTAAAATGGATAATTATGGATTGGATAAGGCAATCCGGGATCAAATGATTATTTTATCAAGATTTATTTCAGGTGAATGCTTCCATTATGTTTGGTAGAGATGATTAGGAAGGAAGAGAGGGAATTTTAAAGGTGCTGTCTTGTTCGGAAGGAAGGAAGGAGATGGAGAGAAAAGGGCAAAATGATTAGGAATAATTAGGTACGATTTGGAATAGCTAAATTTGTACGTTCTTTAAAACCCTCCAAATCTGTCTGTCTATGGGAGGAAGGATTCATAGGGATTGATTTTCTAAACAAACAAAATTTTCTTTCTCACTTACTTGTACCATAATTTTATTTAAGTGGGGAAGTTGTCTACTATATCGTAAACTTATTGTAAGGATTGTCAAATCGATCCTAAATTTTTCAATTTTGCCAATTCAGTCCTAAATTTTTGCGCGAAATTCCAACGTAGTCTTTCCGGCCAATTTCGCTGGAAATTGCAGACGTGGCAGTGTGCCGCGTTGGACAGCCGACAATGATTGGATCGTCACATCAGTGATTTTCAGAGAAAATTAACCGGAAAGATTACATTGAAATTTCGCGTAAAGGACTAAATTGACAAAGTTAAAAATTTTAAGACTAAATTGGCATTCGTACACGTATTGGGTAATTTTCCCTTTTATAAATTATAAATACATAAAAGGTCATTGGTGTCATAGTGCAATTCTCTCCATTCCTTTTCTCGATAGCATCCGAAACAACATCATAATTTAAATCCGTCTATCTCCCCCTTCTCTTATTTTCTCTCATAGTTATTTGAATCCCTTCATTTATATTCTAGCCACCTTTCTACCGAACAAAGTGTTCATGATTGAGGAATGACTTCACATGACTAAGACGTTGAGTTTTCTAACCAGATAATCACCAATATTAAGGTGGATTTTACTTACCTCTAGGGTCCAATTAACATTTTAGGCTGCTTTAAATGTTATCTCAAAAGCGTATTTGTTTCATGAAAAACTTTATGTTGAAGGAAATGGTTTTACCCGAAATTTTATCTTCAAGAAAAGTGATTTGATTTTTCCGTGCGCTCAAAAACAAATAATCGTAACGAAAGTGTGCAATCAAGTCGTCTGAAACTTTCGAATTATATAATCGAGTTCCAAAAATTGTCCACAACAATATAATAAGTAATTTCATGGATTCCTTCTATTTTGAATAATAAAAATACTGATGTGGTGTCAAATGGGAGTCACCACAAAGAAGAAGAAGCTGTAAATATTAGAAAAGAAGAAAGCGAGACAGCCACCGTGCTTGGGCGAAGGTGGACAGCCCTCTCCGCAAGCAGGCAAAGGAAAGCGTCCTCATGTATTTGTACCCACCCCTCACTTTAGTAGCAATGAACGAACATTGCCCAAGTCAAATTTAGCTCAATAAAACAGCAAACATGACTTAGTTTGCACAACTCGGGTTTTGTTGAAAGATTGGCGCGGCCCTTGCGACGAGATATAGCCTGACAAGAGCAGCCTCTCGAGCCCGTCGAGTCGCGTGATCGGGTCGTTCGCGCCTAATACCGATAGATGGTAAGTCGTTGTTGGAACACCGTCCATTCAAAGTAGGGAAATTATCTTTCCCATTCATGTTGCCAAGAGCAATACCAAGGCTCTGTTTATTTCGTCTAAAAATGAATGAATTAGAACACAGTTTTCCTAAAATTGATCGCTTGAAGTAATTAGTTATTGAAAATGTTTTCATTATCGATAACAATTTATGCCTAAATATTTTCGTGGATAATGAAAATATTTTTTCGTTTATTTATTATCGTAAACGATACAAGCCATCATTTTTAGGAAGATAATTTCAAAATCATTCATTTTTCGCGAAACTAGTACACCCTAATTGCTATTGAAAGGAAGACTCTTCCACATTGCTATTGAACTGTCAAATTCTCTTATCCTTCTCTTCATTGGCTCTTCTTGAAAGCACTATCAAGCATTAAAATCCCCATGTTCAGTATGAGCAACTATCCACTCTAAAAGAAAATGGTTAATATCACGAAAAACCCCAAACTGGTACACCTGTGACAAATTTACTCCAAACTAATTTTTTTAACCATAAAAAACTCCGAACTGGTATATTTGTGACAAATTTAGTCTCCGTTAGTTTCCATTAAATTGAATTAATACCAAAAAATATCATAAACTGGTACGCCTTTGACAAACGGAAGGTAAAACATAAAATTGGTACATCCGTCAATTGCCATGTGTCACTTAACAAAACAATTTGACAGTAAAATTTAACGAAAATAAACTAAGGGTAAATTTGTCACAGGTATATCAGTTTTGGGGGTTTCTGGTGGTCAAAAAATTAGTTTGGGATAAAATTGTCACAGGCGTACCAGTTTGGGGTTTCTCGCGGCGTTAACCCAAAAGAAAAAGAAAAGCTCATGTTTTCGCCCCTAACCTATTCCATTAACCTATTAGAGGCCTCTTAGAGGTCAAGCAAAATGTGGAAGGACGTTTTGCTCATGGAATCAGAGATAAGAGCCCGAGGACTTAATTACACTAGGGGTTTATCTAACACCCAAATTTAATACCTTTTTATTCGAGAACATTTCGTACGATCTTTTCGATTTTAGCATTCCTAACCACGCGCATCTTGGTGGCCACGCATTGTCAACTCACACAACAGGATTTGAGTATATCAACAACCACAAGAACAGTTACAACATCACAAGTAGTAAACCAACGTCATAATGAAGCGGTAAAAGTGCGGAAAATAAAATCTTATACAAGTCGGGCAAAGAATGTATATACTTTCTAATGAAAATGAGCAACGATTAGGCACGGATTAAACTAGGCCTAAACATGCAATTTATCATTAAGTGCAAGATCGTTTTTTTTTTTTTTTTGGAATTTTTAGTTATCAATTTTTTTTTGTTATTTTTATTTATATTTGATAATGGTATGGCTTAAAAGGCAAGTGTCACTCGGAAATAATGCAATAACGTGAAATGGACGCCCCAAGACCTTCAGAAAAGCCAAATAAGGACTCACAGCCCCGCTGTCCAGTGGACTAAGTGTGCTGGATAGCGAGTTGAAGAGGCTTGTTTGTCTTCCATGCGGTCCCGATCGAATCGCGAAACACCCCGACGCGACAACGGCCGGGGACGCCGCAAGAGGGCGTTCCGGCCAATCACGGCTTGGTGCGATTAAGGCTGAACCGAGAGACCCTCCGAGGAAACCGAGTTCAAGATTAAACAATTATGCTTACGGGACACAATGTTGATGACAAATGAACTCCAACATGTGATTACCCTATGGCAATGAAGCTAGACAACATGAATGACAACAAAGAAAGGAGCAAATATCATCATCACTAAATCGGTCCTCTATGAACGGTTCTCCCACCCGCCTCAATCAACTTAGAGTCAAGCATACGCAACTTATAACTTGAAATATACTACAACACGTCCTAATCTTTCACGAAATAGGACATGATCAAGAACAAATAATGAGGGAATGAACTCAAACGACACAATGGAGCCCTCGGCCGAGCCATGAACCGAGGCGCATACGCAAGCTCTCGAGACAAAAAGGGAAGACAAATGGCAAGGTGAGCAGCTAGCGGTCACGGTCTTAGTTGGAAAAACTGGCCCTAACGCATGCTCGGATCGAACGCTTCTATGAATGTAACTTTAAAGATCAAACTATGTTACCCGAGGTGCCCTAACCAAGCTAATTGCGATGCTCGCCAGGGAAGGCGAGTCTTCGTACCTCGGCTTTCGACTACCATCGCAAGCTCGGTATCCTTTGGCGAATAACCACAAGACCAAAGGAGAGAGACTATACCTTGAACAAACGAAGCATTCAGCTGTGTTTGCATTTGTAAAAAAAGCTCGTTTAAATAAGTTAAAGCAATGATTCATCGACCGAGGGGATCGGTCCGAGCGGGACTGTAGAGGTAAAGACCTCGAAAGCGTCGATTTGTGACTGGAAGTTCCGTGCGTGTGACTATATCCCATGATAATTTTTGAAATTATTTAGAAATTATTTATTGATAAAACCGACTTCGTCTTTTGAAAAAGTTTGGCATCTTTGAATTTAATACCATCGGTTGAGTTCTTGAAGTGTTGATTAACGATGTCTGTCATATAGAATTCAAGGTATAAGACCAGATCATTGCGATCCATTGCATTATGAACAGAATATTGCATCTAAATCGAATGTGCCGTGATCACGCAGGTCGCCGGAAAAATTTTATGACACATAAAATGAACGAAGTTGACGCAATCGCACGCCGCTTTGAAATGGCACGTTTCGTGTGGAAATTGCACGCTGCGATGGAATTGCACGACGTTCTGAAATCGAACGCCGACAAAAGAAGGATATCGAATGCAGTTTTCTTCACAATTGAACGGAATGACTTGCTATCACAGGCTGTCATAATAAAATTGCATGAAATTGATCGATGATACTCGGTCGTATGCTAATATGATGAAACTGCATGCTAACATCAAATGGCCATCGTCATGTTATGCGGAAAAGGTCGATTCGCCGTCGTGATTGCTTGGTATGAAAACACGAATGATGCACAAAACAAGATTAAGACCCGCGCACGGATCATCATTTGATGCGATAATAAAATGAAGGCTCACAGACTAAGATAACATGGAACTATCATACGATCAAACCAATTTCGATTCTCACAGTATGATTTCAGCATGATCTATTCTTAGGATAGGATTTTAGGGTTACACATGATCAATGCGAAGATCTGAGAAAGAGAAAGAACAAGGCAAATATCATTGCGATAACAATTGCGTCTTGATTTATACATCCAGATGGAAATTACAATGGGATCTTACAATAAATTTTTAACATATTTACGACCAATATTTCAACTTTTCGAGGTGCTCTTTTCCCTATTCAATGAATATGTACGTCATAATATATCCATAAGGGAAGGAAGTCGTTGTCTTTACCCAATAAGCTTCCACATGTATCAGCAGCTTTCATCACACCTCGTTCTCGCCGGTGCTTCTACGGGTACAAACACTCAAGCTTCCCCTGGACGATCATCTGAGGGCGATGGCTCGTTGCCATAGTTCAAAAGGTGTTTTAATTCTCCTCTTATCAAAGCCAAAACTATTGAGAGCCCTGGATCGAAAAAAGAAAAGAAAAAAGGTTAATCAACAATCAAGCAGAAAGCCATTATGGGTTGAGCGAATCGTGCATTTGGGTACCTAATGTACAAGGAACAAGGTAAAGAAGAGCGGGTTGGCCATGACCATCCATAAGGTATAAGCCTAGGTATGTAAGACAAAGGCCTGCAAAAAGAATAGAAAGCTCCATCAGGGATGGTAAAAAGTACATGCCAGTGTCCAAACAACCACGATATCACAAGTAGTCAGGTGTACGTAACGAAGAGATAAAAACTTTCAATTAACCAAACTGCAGGAAAACTATTAGGAGTCATACAAGTAGATGGCGTTTAATCTGATCACAAAACCCATATGAATATGAAAAAGAGGAAGAATATGTCAGATGAGAGCATAATCTTGAATTTCAAGCAATTTCTCGAAAGCCAGGTGTAAAATCTGGTACAGGAAGCAGCTCGTGTGCCAATCAGTATAATGATCGAAAGGCTGGCTGCTGACGTCATCAGCATTAGAAACATAATGGTATATATAATTCTTCTCCAAGCAGAACCAGACCTCTCCAGCACGAATTGCCACGGAGCTTATTTTTATGGCTGAGAGGCGCTAAAAATGTTTACATCTAGGACCCTATTCATTTGTGACAATACTACTTCGAATATTCTGTTAAGATACTAAAGTAGCTCCAGCAGAATGAAGCAATTTTCACGACTTTAAAGGCAGAGAAACATAGCCCCCATGCTAATATTCCGGTGAAGTTACTACTTTGGTCAGCTCCGGACATTCAGGATTCGGGACAGCAATGTACCAGTGTTGAAGACCAATTTAATCTGATTTGGAGAGCCACCAATCAAAGCCAGCCAGATTGGACTAAGGCTGAAGCCAAGTTAACAAGCCAGTCCCAGCTGTTTCATATGGGAGCTATTTTATATTCTATTATCCAAAATGCCAATAGTTCTAACTGAAAAAGTTAGGTAAGAGTAAATAGCCACTGTTATCTAGTTCGGCCTTATCCTCGGAAGTTCACAGCATGATCTAATGACAAGCCAAAATTTTTGGTTTGGTTTGAAAAACATCTACAAACTGAGAAAAGCCAAGCGTGCCACTAACAACCACTTAAACATGGAGGAAATGGATGATGCAGAGGGAAAAAGCAAAAGTGACTAGGAGGATAAAACCAACACCGACTCGAGAAGCATTTAAACACAAATCGATTTCATGATACACGTTCTTCACAAAGAACAGGAAATAGAAATTCATTCACCTAAGACAGACAATACAACCAACTCTTATTATACATGAGAAGGAAATACAATATCTCTAGAGCACAATAAAAGCAACGAGAGAGAAGACAGCAAATAATGAGACATAGAAAATTGTTAAGTACTCACCAACTCCATATCCAACAGTGCTCCAGAGAAAATATCCATTTAGTAAACCTCTCTTATTTTCTTTGTCAAATCTGAGAAAACCAACTCAAAAATAATCAGAAAGATTGCATTTACGGTCATGCATGACGTTGACACAAGATTTGTAAGAACCAGCTACCTTTACATCCATTGTTGGATTTGTAATATAATGTCTGGACACTTTCAGTGAATAATTACTTAATCATCACAGGCAAGTATATCCACCAGTTGTCGATAATTACTTAAGCATCATAGGCATAAATTATTGTCGAAAATGAAAATATTTTTTATTGGCTAATTATTCCAAGTGATAAAACCAATCATTATTGGGAAAATATTTTACAAAACGGGTATTTTCTGCTAAACAAACGGACCCTAAGTGGAAAAAGAAATGAACAATCCAAGGATTCAGACAACCTCCAACAGTTTGTTGTTCGACTCCATCCGGATGATGGAAAAAGAATGAGTTCAACAGGTTATTAAATGACACATTCTTATAAACAGTTGCAAGCAGATTCTTATATCTCAGCAACTTGGAATTTTACCATAATCTATAGACTACTTGACATGTGACATGAGTATTATTTTAACAAAACTTTGGACTTTCTTTCACAAATGCAGTTTCACATTAGCAGGTACTCAGGCCTATAACTAGCACAATGACCAACATTAAGTTACTGAAATGTGAATGCTGAAAGAAATGAAGTATACAAGCTATTTGTTCACTAACTTGATAATACAAGGCATGTATATGCATATAGGAGCAGTGTGGAAAGGTTATGATGAGTGTCCCTGAGGGAATTAACAAGATGGAAGGCATATTCACGTTTTTTTGTAAATGAACAAAGATGAAAAGAGTGGTAAATAAAGTTAGTACGTCATCCATATGATTTTTCAAATAGTTAACAGGAAATGCCTAATGTACTTGACATAAGTTCTGAACTATTTTCTTCATTGCATAAAAAAGTTCAGAGAAATACTTTTTATCTTCTTTTTTTTTGGTCGGATCTACTTTTTATCTATTTACCTGAAAAAATTAGGAGAACTACCTTTTATCCACTTTTTTCCAATCCTAAGGTATAATTAAGCACATTTCAAATCTTTACCTGAAAAGAAGTGAAACAAGAAGACCAGGAAAAAGAATGTCCCCAAACCCAATCATGTCATAACCACCCCAAGGGTCAAAGAGCCGAGGGACTCTCAACAGCATAGGAATGGAACCTCCACCACTATTATCACCACGAGCAACCTACAAATGGGGAATGAAATTATTCAAGAAAATAAACTGATAAGAACCGAAGTAACTTCCAAAATGAATGTTAAAAACTATCCCCTTAACCTAGTACCAAGGAAATAAACTTCCAAAAACATGCAGCAGTCATATTTTGATGTGATTCCGCATGGTTGGTTAAAAATTTCGTTCCATAGTCGGGAAGACCATTGTAAACACGACAAGACTCATCTAAATGCGAGAGAGAAAATTTTCCATCTTATTTCTACAAGACATGTAGCTCCAAACTGCTCTATATCTGGAATGGAAAAGGAAACTTTTAGTTGGGATTGGTATGGTGGGAAAAGAATGGAGGCAAGATAAGGAAGGACAGAGGGACGTATTACAAGATTTGCGGTTGAAGTACAAATATATCCCACTTCCTGTATTGCACAAGTACATCTCTTTTGCCGCCAAGAGCCAAGAGAAATTGAATCCCTAATCGTAAATAAGACTGAATCTAATCGTCCATAATCACATTGATCATCTCCACCAGTATTATCGATCCATTATATTCTTCATCGCGCTTATCCTACTCTGCTATCATCTGAGAGAAGTGCTTTCATCCATTGTCCTGCTCCACCAATGTCCAAGTGCAATATTGTGGCCATCAACTTCACTCCATTCTTCATCGCTGTCGGACTTCGACCAATCGTCACCATGTGTCTCCTCCTCAGAATCAATCTCCAGCAAGTTGTCATGGTTAGTTAGTTGTCACTGCTCAGCATTTTCATCGACTCATCGTTGTTGAACTGAGAACTTCAATGAGGTCAGCTAGTTTCTGGTCTCTTTTCCTGAGACTACAAAGTCATTCTCAAAGCTTCAATCCACTGTTTCCCGAGTTTCTACTCCATCACAGAAAAATTTCGGCAACCGTTGCTCCTTGACGCCAGTTGATGTAATTAAATTTTAGGGATCGATCTGTTAAGGTGGAGCTCCCTCTGAATCCAAAACAAATAAATGATCAAACAAAGTTGTCACCACCTGCTACTGATGTATCAACTCTGTCATCTACCACCTCATTCACATCTTCCTGTGTGGTTATTCCCATTCTTCCAGGAAGCCCCACTATTGCTACAGAAAAATTAAATGGGAAAAAGTTATTCAGCTTGGCTTGCTGCAGTTGAAATATAGTTCCTTGGTCAAAGCCTTGAGGATCATCTTACCAAAGTTGTATCTAATATTCCCGAGACCGATCAGGCAATTGGGCCCAAAGTGAATGCTCCATTTTGCTCAATCTACTGTGGCAATCCTTTCAACCTAGCCCGATGACCATGTTTCAGCTTCATCGAGCATTTGTGAGCACTTATCTTGGTACATTATAGACATTAATAATGAATTTAATGACCTTAGGCCTTTTACCAGTAATTTTTTATATCAGCAGGAGCAACGAGTTATGATGTGTACAGTTCTCTGTCTTCATGGTTTTTGACCGGAACTTCAGCCTATTTGAATGCACATTTTAGGCGATGCCTGCATCGCACCATTGCCAAATGCTTTTCCATAGCATGCTGTCCATATCCTCTACATTTGCAGACAACATCGGTGATTCCATATCGAGCAATTCATATACTGTTGCTACAATATACAGGTTCTGTGGGCGGGTGTGGAGCTGAAGTTATTACCACTAGACTTGAATGTGGAGGTCCTGGTAGTTGTGGTGACCCTCCACAGTGCACTCATTGCAACTACCTCGGTCACGCTTGAGATACTTGTAACTATTTACATAGCTGTTCTCCTCGGATACTTGCTTTAGATCAGAAAACTAATCTCAGTGTCCATAATGAAAGTCCACAGGTCAGAGTTGTTTCTGGTGTTCTTGCCTCTACCACTATCTCTTAGGATGAGCGCAATAATATCCTTTAAGCTTTGAGCTGCCCACCAGGAGAGCTCTTCCTTAGTTTTCGTAGCACAGAGCGCCACAGTCCAGCCACTTTCTTAAGCCATTGATTTTCAATTCTGGCCCCAATGACCATATGTGCGGTAACAGCTCATCCTATCACAAATATTTTTGTCCTATATCTTCACCTACTGTCACTTGGAACAACTGTACCATTTCCTTGCGTTTCTCATCTACTTTACATCTCCCACAATACTCCTTTAATTAAATCTCATTAGTCAACTTAATGAAGACCAAAATTGTTCAGTAACCTTTCTTCTAATAGATAATCACATGAAGAGTTATAGAGCTATGGCTCCAACTACATCTGAGCTGATGTGGTTGAAGCATCTTGTTGAGGTACTGGGATTTACGCTGACAGAGCCCGCACTGTTATTTTGTACTAATCAGGCTGCTGTACATTGTAGCCTAAGATCCAGTGTTTCCTTAGAGACCTAAACGTATTATGATTGACCTTGCTTTATAAGGGAAAGTTAATCTCTAGGGAAATTTAACAACCTTTTTGAGGTCCAATGGTTAGCTTTCTGACATATCTACATAGCCTCTCCATAGTTCTCAAGTGAATTACATTAGCAACAAGCTTGGAAAATATGACATATATCTTCATGTTGAGGGGGAAATTCAAGAGCTCTTGTAATGACAGAAGTGTATTCGTAAATAGCTTTAAAATATTAAAGACAGGTAGGTTACAGTAAATCCCAATCTTTCAGTCTCAACATACCTTCTGTTTTTATATTCATAACATCAACAATGCCATTATTAATCAGGATTCCTACACTTTAAGGTTTAAAAGAGTAAAAACAGGTTTAGAAGAGTGGTATAGACCTTACCACAACCATAACGCTTTCTTTGAAGAGAAGAGGCGAGAGGAAGACCCAAAAGATGTCGTAAAGAAATGCGCAACATAGTAATACCGATGCAACCTGATTGGAACACAATCTTCAGTATGGCAACAGAAATCACTTGTGCAAAACATGAGTAAAATTAGAGCTACCTTAATATTTGGAAGACGTGCAATCTGCAACACTGTTATCATCATGCAAATTCCCTGAAGAAAACATATCAATTAAGTGGAAAGAAACACTTCGAGGAAATATATCTCTAACAAATCTCAAATAGCATTACAGGAAAAGCAGAATCCAGCTACCGTTATGCAATTAAGAAACAAAGGTAAAAAGGCAAAAGAAAAGCACATGTATGCTGATTATCTTTATTGGCAAGTCCCCATTGCCTCCAAGTGTAGACCTAACTGGTGAAGCAAAATGAGAAACAAAAAAACATGGCATTGCTATGTTGAGACAAATGTATTGACACATGCAACCTGTCAAGCAACTGCCCCAAAAAATCTAGGTTTGAAAGAACTCCATGTCATAGCAGTAAAATCATTGACTTCTAATATTGTTTTACACAAATACATGATGCTCCTTGTTAGGAATAAAGGAAGCTGTGTAAATATCATATTTTGTGATTGCGATATTCTGTAATTCATGTTTTCTAGTTTGCAATTGATAATTTTGATTAAATACTTAAGCGCAATCTCAATGACACGTGGTTCTCTCTAGTCTTTATTTCCACCGTTACATGGTACCAAAGCACTGTGTAAAGATAAACCCTAAAAATCCAGAGGACTGCCACCTGTACAATGCAGATTACAGTGTAGAAAGCCTAAGCCCATTACACCTTCAACAATCGCCCATTGTGCAAACTGATCAATCTCATCCAACACCATCGCCCAACATCATTCCCCAATGCCTTCGCCATCGAAGAGGCAAGGTCAATACATCAATCATTCCCCAATCGTCCATTGTCAATTTGTTGCCTAGAAGAGGGACATGATGGTATCATGTTGTGAGGTGCTTTTGCAATGATAAAGGGGTACTAACCCTTATCAACAATAACTAAAACCTCAATTTGAGGTTGTTCGTTTTCACGCAATAGACCTGACCTAGGTGATAAACTACTTTTATGTTAACTTGGATTTCTATGTTCAGGACAAACCTAAGGAAGTTGAACAAGATTGCTGATCAATTTAGGCAATGACCTAAAACTCTACGATAGATAAGACTATAGAAACCTATGGTAAGGATATGAAAAAATTTAGACGAAACATCATCCTTTCCAATGAGTATGATAAAGTCAGTTGAGGTGGGGGACCAATAAGGAGCATTAACCTTATAGGGTGTATCACATAATAGTTAATATTTATGCAGTGAATCCACTACAATATCAAGATTGATAGAGGTAAAAATCTTCCAGAATAATATCAATATCAATAAGCGAAAAAAAAAAGCATAATTATAAAAAGCCTATTGAGATTTGCACCCACATATCAAATACAACTTAGCTCTTAAGTTTTGTCACTTTCATATTAACTTGCATCCTCACAACTTCACTTATTTACAGTAATTGCCATTTTCCTTCCCAAACACCCTACCCAAAAAAAAAAAAACATAAATACTAACACATTCTCTCTCCTCCACCAGCTCCCCCCTACCAGTCCCGAATCGGAGCCTGCCGCCATGGGAGATCAGTGAGCTCTGTGACAGAGTTCACATTGACACCCCGAGCTCTGTCACGAAGCTAGCCAGGCTCGCGCGAGCCCTGGGGGGCTGATCTTGCAGCTCACGCAAGCCCATCCCTTTCTACCACGCGGCTCATGCAAACTTGACTTGCCATGACTGCAAGCCGGAGCTCTATGAGATAAGAGAGAGGGTGGCTCATTGGGGTGAGGGGCTCGGCAGCAAGGGGCAAAGGAGGCAGCAGCATCAGGGGATGGAGGTAGCAACAGTGAGGGGTGGAGAGAGAGCCTATTGTTTGTGACTAAGTAAGGAGGGTGGAGAAAGAGAGGGAGGGGAAAGAGATGGGTGTAGGGTTTGGGGATAAATGTGTCTTTTCAATTTGGAGGAGATGCAAATTTCAGATTTTTAAAAAGTGAAAATGGTTTTTGATATGTAAATGAAAACTTCAAAATACTTTTTGAAATCTTCCAAAGAAAAACACCAATTGCTATCAACACATTATATGAACATGAATTACTTCTTAAGTCTCGCTGCTCTATGGGAATTTCTGGATCTACATATTATCCGATTAACACGTGTATCCATTTACTGGCACATGTCCAACACTTTCTCATTTGGAACTAGCTATTATCATACATTCCCAAAAGGTTTTCCAGGAGAAATTAATTAGATAATAGAATCCAAAGGATTCAATATATCTGCTTAGTAACTTGCTTGCCATGACATACCATATTGGTGCAAAGATTATCCTTAGCCGGACCCAGGGCAAATAAGCAACCTTGAATAGCGTAAGCACACTTAAAGTTCTAGAGCAACACGATAGACGAATAATATGAAGCATCAAAGATGACAAGTCACATTTTTCTCCAGCCCATGCCAAGCAAAACAAACAAAGAAATAGATAAAGTCCAATGTAGTGAACTCACAAGAATATCTTGTCCAATCCAAGCCCAGGAAGCCTCCTGATTTACAGCCCAGAAAATGGCAAATGCCATGCATAAAACTAGCACGATTACAGAGATCAACGACACCTCTCCTATCAGAGGTATACACACCATCTTCTGGCTACGGTTTTTGGATTTTCTGCTTTCATAAGACGTGACAAAGTAAGCATATCAACATAGAGAAATTGAACATCTTCAATAACGAAACTAAAGGATGAAGAGGATACCTAGAGATTAACCCCAATATACAAGAATGCATTCCCTGTAAAAAGAATTATGTAAGTGAAAGAAAAATGATAACAAACTACTATAATCAATCTCCCACTTATACTGAGAAAAACTAATGAACTGATGAACAAGATCGACATACCACAAAACCGGCATACAAAGGACTAGTCAATAGAATAGTAACATCGCACATTGCAGTGAGTGCAGATTGACAGTGAAATTTGGGTAATCATCCTTGAGGATACAGAGCTGTAACTCCATCTCCTCTCTACAGCAATTGAAGCAGTATATATTTCCATCTCCACATTACTCAACAAAGCAAGAACTATCTCCCAATTCTCTGACAAAGCTATCTAAACGTTCTAGTGGGGGACTAAGAAAAAAGTCTCAATTTTTGTTTTACATGTGATGAGTGCCAAGCAAGTTGTGATTACTAAAAGAAACTTTAGCAGCACGGACAGAATCGTCGTGATTGATAACCCAGTATAGAAATGCCACAGATATTCACCAATACTGTTGTGGGTTAATGTTAGGTTGTAGAGCTACCTTTGCTGGTTTCTTCATAAATATTTTCACTTTCATTAGCATTGAATAGTAGCTTAGAGGATCTTGAAATAAAATGCCTGTGAAATAAGGCCTAAAAGGAAGACAACTGACTTCCACGGAAGATAACACTCCGTATTATATCCACCAATTGTATTATACCTGTTCAAATTTACTTCTCCTTAACTCTCCCATGTAATGTTTTCCTCATTCTTACTAATTCAAACTTAAGGAACAATGACTTTGGAGATCAGCATATCTGGATTGTTGTGTTGATCAAGTAATGTATTAGTGTTTCTTTTTGCAGAATCAAACTATCTTCCACGGACTACAACCAATAGTTCCCCAACTTCCACACATCCTGCCTCCACACCTCACCAACCCCCCCCACCCCCCCCCCCCCACCAAATCCCCCAAAAGGAGAAAATCCCCAAAAGAAAAAAAACAGAGAAAAATGGATAAAGAACAAAGTGAAGACGAGGACTATGGGTACACAGAGAGTATCTAATACACATTGTCAGCTGCTACCACTAACTTCGCGCAGAGGTTGGTAAGGAATCATGCTAAGCATCGGTCATAACTTCAAAAGTTCTCTACAACAAAAATGAATAGTTCAAGGACTCAACTAACAATAAATGAGCAATTACCTCAATACCACCGATGCAGAAGAGAACTATCAGCACCCATAAGACCCATGATGACATGAAGAAATAGAGTAGCACAAGAAATACTGATGCTGTAATGACAAAGCAAACAGCACCCTTAACACTTATATCCAAGACTTCCTTCTCAGAATCATCTTTGGCTATTCCAGCATTTGAAGACTCCTATCCATCAAAAGAAAAATAATATTCAAATAGTCAATCTGTCAAGTTGACAGGTACAAAGGATGGAATAAATTTGCTATTGTCCACATGCAAAAAAGGACAAGCATACTGACTGAAAAGAAACAGCTGTAACACTCAATATCGATTAAAACCATATTAATGCACTTCATCCAGAGATAAGCTTCAAAATAAGAAGAGGAATAACCTTCGGTGATAGTTCATTATAGCGCTCATCATTCTGCTCAGCAGCAGTGAAATCGGACCAAAGTGAAGCACAGACAATCGTTCCAACAGCCATCATCCATAGAAAGACAACAGAGAAGTCAACTAGTGGGCGATCTGGGGAGTATAATAGTATCTCCACTGCAAAGAAATTTGTGATTAGAAACACCAGGAGCATCCAAAAGAAGATATCTAAACACCGAGCTATAGTAATCCTGCTTAGATAGTGAAAGTGGATAGGAAAAATTGTTAAGAAACATTGGTAGGAGCGCTACTAAGCACAATCTTCCTCTCACTTCAAAATTGCAGAAAAAATTAGAAAAGTATGCACAAATGATGTTATGGCTTGGGGCTCCTCCTTTGTAACACTTTGGACTTTCATTAGGCTCTTCTTTTCATTTAACTAATATTAGGGATGGAATCCTAATATTAGAAAAGTGCACAAATGATGTTATGGTTTGGGGCTCTTCCTTTGTAATACTTCGGACTTTCATTAGGCTCTTCTTTTCAATCAACTAATATTAGGGATGATATCCTCAAGAAGATTGAAAAATATACACTTCGCGGTTCTAAAAAGGATTATCTCTCCAGTCTTCCAACTCGTTTTCTGTCTTCATTGCCAATTCTTGTTTTGGATTCAAAGAGAATTTAACAGCTACAAAGGTAAAGCACTCGGGATGGTATGAAGGATGTCATAACTCTTTTTTTCTCTTTATTGCCAATTCCTGTTTCAGTTTCAAAGAGAATCGAATAGCTCCAGAGGTACAGCCCTTCGGATGGTATGGTTGACATCACAAAAAGACCATTCAAACTCCTTCTTATTGAGATTTAAGAACTTATTTATCTTCAAGCAAGCCCTCCTGAGTGAATCGCTATGGAGATTCTCTTCATAATGTGATTCTGTTTGGTGAAAATTTTGATAAAGAGATGGAACTCTTTTATACATTGGATTGTGTGTGAAAATGGAGATGGTAGAAGAAATTCATTTTAGCTCTCAAGCAGTCAACAAGCATGCGATGGTTTCAAACTATATGTTTTCAGAGGGTGGATCAATTTATTGGAATCCAGCTTTCATACATAGTTTTGATTATTGGAAGCTTTTTTTTGATTGACTCCTTCCCAGCTCTTCTTTGTTTAGCTAAAACCCATGGTTTTGGGGATGACCAAATGATATGGTCCAGTGTTGTCAAAACTGCTCTAGGTTTTCTCTGGTTTGTAACATGGCTTCCCCCATTTGTAATATCTCCAAGCTTTCTCATGAAAGCAACCCTGTGTAGGCATGGTTGTTTGGATTGCAAGTGATCCGACAATCCAAAAGTCCCTAAAATGATCGAAGTTACTCAAAAAATTGCAGGTAAATACGAAGTGAAGCAGGATCACAGCCCAGGACCGTGGGATCATGAAGGGTTGCAGACCACATATGATCCCAAGGATCCTGTTATACCCAGGAAATAGGCTAATTTGGCTTAAGGATATGGAAAATGGGCCCATCTTTTGCAAGCCCAAGACCCATTTATACATCTATCCTTTCTTTTACAGCCCATCTCTCTATATCTCCCACACCCCCCCCCCCCCCCTTTCAAGGGGAGCACATAATGTCAGGACATATCATGTGCAGCATGAAAAATTTAATTTAAGCATGCTCTAGACGGTAGAAAGCTCACCTCGTCCATCAACTAGCATAGAATTCAGAATTCTTCCAGCGGACTTCGACACCATTATGACAGGAATTGATATGTTCATAGCAGTACCATTTTCAGGGCAAACCATCTCAAAAAGTTCTGCAATGTTTTGATAGATGAATATCAGGCAATACTGAACCAAGTGTAACTCCTTCATTAAGCTTCAACTTTCGCTGCTATTGCAATAGATGTAGAAGAATCAAGGAACTAAAGCAGAAAAAGGACCAAATAAAGGCTCCAAATTCCTCATCATGGTGCACTGATTACACTACCTTCTTCATCATTTATCACCAAAAGGCCCGCAGCACTTTCTACTTGTGCAATTTCCGCCTTGGCTGTGAAGTCACAATCTCCACGTGTGGCTAAAGCAATAGATCCCTTTAGCTGCCAAAATATAAAGAAATCAAAACAAAGATAATATCAACAAGAGGTTGATCATAATCCTGTCAAATATATAGCAAATTGATTATCACAATAAGACACTTTATGAGGAAGGTAATACCTCTGTGGAGGAATTTGAGCAGCAGTTTGCGGGATTTGACAAGACAAGAGGTAGTTTGACACCTTTTTTAGCATCAGAAGGCAGCAAGGCCCCAAATCTTGCACTTAGACCACCTAAAGTTTTACCTTTGCTGCCATTAACCCAACTTTCAACTTTTACCTGAAAGTTTACACTCAGTATATCAGAGAGTCAGCCTCCCAAAAGAATGACCATATCATCCATCATGCAGAATAAAGAATTTCAAACATAAGTACGTCTTGATCTCAAGAATTTCAAACATGAGCACGTCATGATCTCAAGCTGACAGGTGTAACTGCAATTCTCACAAAGCTTGTTCGATTCTCACCTAACAAGGGGAGAAAAAGAATAAATTCTGCTGGCTCACTACCAAAATCAGTATCTTCAAATCCAGATGGATAAAAAGAAAAAACTGGTCAGCCTAGGGATTCACGATTACACATGGAATTGGTAAATGGTGATGTCATATGGTTAGGTGCATAGGAGTATTAATAACACTAGTAACACGAAAAAACGATAGCATCACCGCTTAATGGAGGGCATAGATTGATTGTTTCACATAATATAGAGCCTATATATTTACGTTAAGAGACATCTTTGTCATAGCATTAAAGCCTGCTCAAGTCTTAGAGCTTCTGCAGCCTCATCAATGAAGGAAGGTTTCTACTCACGTCCCTACATTTCTTTTCAAAATTTCTTTTTAAGTTTTGATTGCTAACCCATTTCAGGTGTATCCAAATACGAATAAACCACCAAAAATCCCTTTTAAAAACAGACATTCTACAACTGCTTATCCACAACGATGGAGTCGTCATCATTCAATTTTTCAAAAGCAAAGCTAGGTTCCTTGACTTCAATGCTCACGATCTTAGTTCCCTGGGACACGTTACACCAATCCTCAAACAACAATAGCATGAACCACATACCAAAATTATTGACATGTCTCGAAAGAGACCTCAAATGTCCTCAAAACCTCAAAATAATCATTGTTAAATTCTGACCAATACTTTGCGGCATGTCTGTCACGGCATTGAAAGAATTTTCATTTCATCTTTAAGTAATAGTTCCAGAAAATACCCGAGCAACAGCCAAATCAGGATTTACTTTGACATGATGACTCAAATTCGAATTGTTAAGAATCTAAATATATAATCATGTGCAATTCATGTTGACTCCACTGAAAGACAATTGGAGTAGTCACCAATGTTTACTTCAAAGATACATACCAGAAAAACTTGTGAAAGAACTGTATAAAAGTTTCTTAGGAAGAGTACATCAGTTTTTTTTCTCAACCGACCCTTACATATTGCTATTGTAGAAACACACCTTCTGCTACCTTGCTAGCCTTGGAAATTTAAGGAAGACCTTGTTCTATAGGATGTAAGCCCAGTTTCAACCTAAGAAACGAAAAAACTAAAAAAACTATTTTCTTCAGCGAAAAAAAAAAACCAACCAGAGTTCAGAACTGCCAAATTTCTTCCTGAAACTTTAATTCCTAAAGCAAAACAAACATATTGCCACATTACCGATGCCAGATCTCCCTAAACTTCCACCGAGACTCATTCGATATTCACGCGCTTTTTCCAACTCTCTCGACACTACAACGAAGAAAGCTCACATCATCGACGCGACACCTCGTCATTCCAGATCCTAATTAACGATTTTCCGCTACGCAAATAGCGAGCGTCTCTAACTCTGCTCGATCCAATTCCATCTCATTCCTCAGCAATCGCAACTGACTATTGGCAATCAATGCACCAAGCCACAACTACCCGCACAGCAATACGCAGCTCCCGGAAATCGAACTCGGAGCAAATTCAAACAAGCGAAACAAAGCAGGCGATCGACGCAATCCGCTTCGGCAGCCCCCCGAATCGGGAGCTAAAGATCGAAAATCGAAGCTCGGAGGAATCTAACTTCCCCGACAAGGAAGAGGCGCGGGGCCCGAGAACCGCCAAAAGCTCAATCGGAGGCCGCGGCGGAAGCGAAACAACGCAGTTCCAAAAAAAATCCATCGCAAGAGAAAGCGCTCCCAAGAAAGAAGGAAGGGGAATCGTCACCAATTGGAAGACGTTGTGGCAGAAGGGGGAGGTCGGGGCGGCCTCGTCGTCGTGCGAGGTGTCCGACGCCGACGCCGGCGGAACTGCTCCGGCCAGGAGGAGGAGGAGGAGGAGGAGGAGGGGGAGGAGGATCGGAGGCGGCGGAGGACGGCGGGGGGAGGAGGACGCCATCGTTGCTCGGAAAGGAAGGGAGGGAGGAGGATCGAAGCAGAAATTTGAGGATTGAAGAGAGAGAGAGAGAGAGGTGGGCGCATGGATTTTCGATCTCCCCTGTCAACCAAACTCGCGCAAGAATTAGGAAAATTAATAATAAATAAATAATTTCGACCCAAAAATAATAATAAATAAATAAATAAATAAAAAGAAGAGAAGAAGAAGAAGATTAGGTGGGGGCGCAGTTTGCTAAATATTGCTGTTGATCCGATTTTGACCAAAACGGCCCCCGCGCACCATGCTTGTGGATGTCTCGGCCGATCTATTTAGGGATAAGCGCGGTTTATTGAATCTTCTAAACTCGTCATGAGAGCGCAATCGAATCATGAAAGTTTTTGAAAAGTGGGATCGGGTATTAAAATTTGTTGAATTTGCGCAATCGCATCCGTCCCAATTTGATCGGCGGAAAAATAGTGACGCGGTTTTCTTCATCATTTTCTCTCTCGTGCATAGGGCATTAAGATTGAAAAAGGCTAAGCAGGAAAGATGAAATCAAGCAGCAATAAAGATCAAATGATATCTAAGCAAATGAAGTACGAGGACGGTGAAGATCACGGGCCGTATCGGGCAAAATTAACAAGGCCTCATTATTAAGCCCTAGGACAGACCTCCCATGAGCTATGAGACAAAAAGTAAACGTGTATTAAAATAATCGTGTAATAAATGCCTAAAGCCCTAGACAACATGCATAAATTATCTAATCAGGAATCACTTATCGCTATGATGTTAAAAAATATCATATTATACGTAATTATCTTTTATGAAGCAAATTAAGATTCTAGGATTTAACCTCAAGGCCCTAACTTACCCGATATGAGATCAATTAGACACGAGATAATCTAGATTGCCCAATCTAAAATGCAAATCTACGCGAGGTGCCCTACGTGCCATGCAATCTTTTTCAATCTCTTCTCATTAATCTATATGAAATTTGATTTGTATGCATGCTATATCCTATATGCATAAATGTAAAAATCATATAGATTCAATCTTTCCCTAGAAAAATCCGATTCTTAGGCAAGGGCAAAAGCGTAGCACGAAAGTAGACACTCTAATGTACTTCTCACGGCTATTAGCAAAAGCAAAGGATTAGAATCCTTCTAAAACAAGACTAAATCCTAACCTAGGTGTGCAAGGGAATCAAACCTAGGGTTGTCTTAACACCAAAAAACTTGCAAGTCAACATCAAACTCATGAAATCAAACAAGAAAGACATGACTACGTAGTATACTTAAACGGGCGGCCATGTAAGGGGATCACGCATTACATTCTAATATGAAATTCACAACCCTATATGTCATTCCATTCATCATGAAAATTGGAAAGTGCGCAATTAAGGTAGTTCCATGTTTGAGTCACGCCCTCAGATTTTAGACGTCTAACGTGATCAATTTTGTTAGTAGGGTATTTCATAGGCCTTGGGCTTATCTATCTAAGGTGTACTTCCTCGTCATAATCAAAAAAACATGAACTGAAGTATGGCAAAAATTACATCATCTAGTACGTACAATATATATAAAAAAATTTATGAACATTTTGGATAGTTAGATGCGTACCAAATCATACATTTGCTAGTGATCCGATACATTCGCTTCCAATTCAAGAGATTGTGAATTTGTCAAATAGTTAGGTACCGATTAGACGTTGAATCAGATCAATTCATATCGTATGAATTGAATATCGAACGATTATGAAAATCACAACCCGACTTTATAACCCAACCATCGTAGGCCACATAGGCAAATATGATCTACAGGTCTAAAAAAACTTGGAGAATTAATGTCGCGTAAAACATTAAACAGACCCATTACCTAAACTGGAGAAAAACAAAACACAATTTAGCAGAAAACGCAACATGAACTGATGTGGACGCCAGGTGATCGCAGCCATGAAGGTTGGATGTCTGTCAATGGACAAAAGATTGTAAATCAAGTAACCCTGATGTAATGAAAATTGAATCATAATTGCTCAGAGTAAGTTTCACAGTCCTCACTCTCATAGTTGAGTTCAGTCTTCACTCAGATACAAAAAGATGCAATATTCAAGTCCTCTTTATCTTTGAAAACGTTCCTGTCTCTGAGAAGTATGTGCTTTGAGTTCCACTGCCAAGCTGGTTTGCATGAGCCTGTGGATTTGTAAGCTCGATCCCCTGCGGATGATGAAAAATCATTCCATAATAACATTCAAGTAAACAAGGAAAATACTAAATTGGAGTCGGAACTCACCCAGAAAACTTCTGCTTGCAATTACAATGTTAAAAGACTGAGATACGATAATAAATAAAAACTCAAAAGAAAGAGGCTGATCGGTATATGCCATGTTAGAAATTAAAGGGAACTACTATTCAAGGCCCAGTCTTTGGCATAAACATACAAAAGATAACTCTTGCTTCCGCTCCTGAACCTGTCAGTGTAAAAGAGATGTGTAACGCATAGACAAAACAACAGTTTTGTCACTAAATTGTCACCAAGGTTTTATATTAGTGCTTCAAAGTTTGAACTACATTAACTCAAACGTTTCTAAAAGATCTAAGGTCGGTACTGTTTCTTCCTTCTTAGGATAAAACTTTGCCTAAGGAGAAACTATTTTCATTGACTTAGGTTGTGTTTCTTCCTTTTTAGTATATGTCTGTAAGTAGACAAACAATTCTCTTTTATGCGGACAATTAGCTTTAATTAAATCAAGCAACTGCAAGAAGGGTAGAGCATTCCATGTTGAATTTGATTGAAATCCATGTTTTGGAATGATAAGGTGGACCATCTCCACTTACTCCTTTCATTCTTTTTGTTTACCCCCAGAATGTCACCAAATACATAGAGGCAATAACCATATAAATTTTCAACCCTACAATTAATCAATCAATTAGACTTGAAAGAGGATATAACATGGAAGACTGTCTCGCCACTACTTGAAATGGAAAAGATGGAACAACGCAATTGATTCTGCTCAATGCTCAGAAAAACTGTAAAACCCAAGTGAAAAATCCAGCACATAGGAATCCAAACCAAGGTGTATAATTGTCATGAAGTCCAGAATGCTCCATACTAAGACATTATCTAATTGTATGGGGGGACAAGGAAGAATGCACAGTCAGCATTTCAATTAGCCCTGTTTTCTATTGATTCACCTAGGTTTGCATATTTATTACATCATGTCCACTGCAATACGATTAACAAGTCACACGTCAGATTTGGGCAGTACCTATGAAACTATTACTATTTAGCACAACCCATCTGAGGATAAACCTCTCAGAGAATACTTGAGTTGATTGGTTCTGCACCAAGACAAGATCAACACTAAACCACCACATACAGTTGCCAAGCTGAGAACAAGGAGGCTACTGAGCAGATCTTTTCTTTCCTTTTTATTTCAGGTTAATGATGGAAATGATTATGCACTCAGTTTTGGCATCAAACTGGAATTAAATGTCAAGCAGTAATTATCATTTCCTGCTTGAAGAAAAAAATTCCAAGGCACTGATAAATTACTGGCCATAAATGACGGCACAGACCTGCACGGGCGTAAATGCCAGACTTGACGTAAGGCCAGAGGTGGCACCACTGCTTCCAAAATTTTTTTCCTTGAACCTGAAGATGATGTAGATTATTAGGAAAAGCTGACTTGAGGCAAAAATTAGTAATCTAGATCGGCAATTTTTCAAAAGTAAATCTTGTCCTGGGAGGACCAAAGAAACATACTTTTTGGCAACTTTTGCAGCAAGCTTACTCTGACCAATAGACACTCGCAGCTTTCCATTCCCTGCCTGACCAAGCATTCCATAGCCTTCCCCCAGTCCATCACCTGACAAAGAGAAAATACATGTAATCATGAGAGCTTTTTCCCCCACACAAATAGGTCAATGGGAGACAAACGAAGTATACACTGCCCATCACTCAAACTCGTTCAAAGGCAACTTTACCTAAGGAACTCTCTTCAGGAATACCAAATTGCATTCTGTTGGCCAGTTTTCTCATATCCGTTATTGCATACCTGAAAAATAAAAAATAAGCCAACACATCGAACCACACGTTCATGAAAAACAAGCTACTTTTTGAAAGAGCAAGAGAGACCTCTCCTTCATCTTCCTTAGACGACGACCACCTCTTTTCTTCTTGGGCTCAGAGTCAGGAACTGGAAGAGGCTTTGGCTGCTTTGCAGGAGGCGGCTCCTGCCATTTCTCAATTTTCTTTCGAATCTCCTCTCTAAATGCCCTCCCTGTATTTCCTGATGGATCTCCCCTAGTAGAATCTACACGTGCAGCGAGTGTTGACTTTGCAGCCAAAAGTCGGCAAGCACGCATTCTTAGAGAAGGTGGAGTAGTCTGGAATACCTCTGTTTGCTCAATGTAGCCTACACGAAACTGAGATGTTGCAGTTGAAAAACCAGCTAAAGTTTTCTTCTTTGCACCAAGAAGCTGGACATTACAAGCCGGCATCTTAGCCAAGGCTGAGAGCCCACCAGCAGTTCCCATCAGTTTTGCAGCAACTGCGCTCCCAACAATGGCAGAAAGATTTGGCGCAATGTAGCCCATTCTACTTTCTACAAAATCAAGAACCTTCTTTTTCGCAGAATCGAGAGCAAGAGCTCGATCACATGCATCAATTGTTTTATTAAGGTCCTCTTCTGGAAGTGGCTTGCCACTCGTAGTTGATGCTGTAACTGAGACAACCATGATGACGGCTGAAGGTAAAAGTCCTTCCAAATCAACAAGGGTCAAATCCACCTCATTTCCAATTTTCTTAACCACCCTCGCATAATCTATTGGATGATGGACGAGCGATTCAAGCTCTGGAAATTTCACATGGTACTTGCCACGAATAAAATTGTGGATAATCATTATTTCATTCTCAATTTCGACTGAGAGGGCATTACAGTCCACAATGAGCTCATATTCCGGATCATCTTCCAACACCATCCCATGATTTGAGATATCAGAACCTTTTTGAAGAGCATCTTCC